GGTCTGAGCCTGAAAATGTTTGTACCCAGAAGTACATTTGCCCATTTGAGCAGGGCTACGGGTGTCAGCGTTTGCAGGATTACAGGCATTATCTGTTGCCAGCCAGCGAGATTTGCACGGCTATGGGGAGCCATGGTCAGGTTGCCAACTATGGCAACCAGAAGAGGCTCCTCCATCTGCACCGGCATCTGCATTCCAGCCTACAGTGACCACCTACAGCCGGCTCCTGGGCGGGCGATGGAGAGAGCTCTCCCAGCAGAAGGTCACAACGTGGGTCCCTCCGCTGAGAGCCAGCTCTGCTGATCCTGAAGAACAAGGGATCTGAGTCACTCCTGCCCCCCTTGAAGGAAAATGCTATATTGAGCATCTACATCTGTCTTAGGTATAATCATGGGTATGGCACTGTTCCTGAAAAACATTTGCACCAGGAAGCAACTTGACACACGGATGAAGTTCCAAGAGAAGTGAAAGGCATGAAGTTAATTAGTAGCAGGACCTGACATTTAGAAGAGGAATTTAAACAGGATTTTTAAACAGGATTTATCTTGATTTTCAGCTTATGCACTTACATCCAAAACTGAAATTCAAAAAGACCTCTTGAGCCACCTCACCCTGCAGATCCCAACATTTTCTAATACCTTCCTTCTCCAACCTCAAACCACCATATCTACACTCCTGCTCTGCACATCCAGAACTGACCAGGCAAACATTCCCTCCTGCCAAAGACCCTCTGAAAGCCAGAAACCAGCACAACACAGGTATCCACACCAAGATCTCCAAAGCATCCTTAACAAACCTGCTCCCAGAACAAGGCTGCGAGCTCTGTCTTTAAGGCACTGCCACCTGGGGAAACAAACACCCAACAGCTCTTCCACCAGCCTGATGACCAGAGCTTCTCAAAGCTAGTCCAAGTCTCTTGTTGCTTTAAACAGGTTTAAGCCCACACACAGCCGCAGAGACATCTGTTTAGCACAAAGCTAGAGGTTGTTCTGGACGGGGACATGTCAGAAAAAAATACAACATCCCTGTGGCCAAGAGGACAACCCACAAGTGAGATCCTGCCTCTGTAACCCAACAGTTAAGGCATTCACCTCAGAGTGGGAAGTCCTGGGGTTTGGCCCCACGTCCTGACGTTATATCAACAGCTTGACGTAAAATGCACATGCAGGTGCCAGAGAAGGGACTGCCACTAAGTCCTGGCTCAGGTCAAGTCACAAGAGACATGCAAAGCAAAGCCCAGGTGGCTCTCGCGGTCCTGAGTGGGTCCCCACAGCGGAGGCACGCGTTACCTCTGCATCCTGGACATCCTGTGGAGCTCCATGTCGTCGCTGCCGCGGAAGCCTTTTGCAAAGGGGTTGTTCTCAATCTTTAACTGGGTGATCTGAAAGGGAGGAAATGCAACGGGTTCATAGCAAGTCCAAGGTCTGGCTTGGGAGAGAGGGGATGTTGTTTATTAAACCCAAGCCAATAGGGATGTGGGGGAAAACACAGCTTTCAGGAACTCGAGTCATCCTTCAGCTCAGGCATTGACCACTCCAGATGGGCCTTTCCTAGATCTCTCCACTGGAAAAATACCTCCTGCCAACAACCTCTCGCTTCTCTCAGTCCTGTCCTGTCACTAACACATGCGACTGCACACTCACATTCATTTTTATTCTGGAGAAAATCTACTTTCTTAGAGTTATTTACTCTCTTTTTGTTGTTGGGACAGAAAGGGCTGCACTGACCAGAGGACCAGAGATGAAAGTCATATTGCCTGAACACTGACATCAACAAGCATTTTCTCATCAATGTGCAGCCATGACCAAAACCTTACCTCTCAGACCCTGGATCTGCTCACTCAGACTGCCCCCCTTTCCATATTTCAGACCAGTTCAATGTACTCCAGGTGTTCTGCATCTGACATTCTTCCCCAGCCGGCCCCACACCTCTAAGCACTGCATCAACTAACTACGGAAGGTACTTGGAGGGCAACTCCACCTTTGACCATAGTGCCCTGGAGGAATGTCTCCCCATTGATTCTAGAAAGCATTAAGGACTAGTCTGCTCGCTTAGTTGGCTACCTTCAGCATCTTTAATTTGCTGGGATGAATACCCCTCCGACTCCTAACTTTGGTCCTCCTACTCCATCTAAGTTAAGCACTTAAAGCAGCTTCTGTGCAGAACATACCCTTATCCAACGCAATGATGCTGCTCAAAGAAGTGCACAATCCCCTTCTTCACATACCTCTCCTGAGGCCTTAGGTGAGTAGGTTTTCTCAAGCCAGGGGTTGTCATTTAGGCAAACATTAACTGTGGACTGGTAACACCCTCAAATACCCTGCTGATCGTGTACAAACCCACTCTGCCGTGCCAAATTTGATGCAAACACTTTGGTATCTTTGCAGAGCACCCCTGAGTCTGGATCAGGTGTGATTTAGCTTCAGTTTCCTAATATTCAGGCAGAGGAGGCAACAATTCCCCTTATTCTCTTTCTCCATCACTGTCTGGCAGTCTGAGACTTCAGCCAGAGTCGGGAGAGCCACTTGCGCTTGCCCAGGTGGAGGGACAACCCTGTGTTTCCCATTGGAGGAACTTCATGCACTCATCACATTTTATGGAAACCCTGTCCTTCCTTCCTATTGAAAGTTGGCCAATGGGAAGGAAAGTGTTCAAGATTAATGGTGGGAGAACAGAGACAGGTTCATGTTCACCAAGTCAAGCACACACAACTGCACCTACCTCTTTGCCAAAATTCAAAGGGAAAAATCTGGCTCGTCTAGTGTCAATAGCAAACCCGGCCAGGTGTCTGCACGACCAGATTGTTTTGCTATTTTCTCATCTTATAGCATATTTTTTTCCAAAAGGCCATTTGCTTATTTGCCATTTTTACCTAATTCAGCCCCAAATCTCACACAAAGTCCCCATCACCCCTCCGTTGGTCCCCACAGGCATTTCCATCAAAATAAGACCTAATTTAGTGCATAAACATTGCGCTTTTTTTTGTTCACACACTTCCAATTTCAAAGAGAAGGGTGACCAAACAATCTATTTGGTCCAATCTCCCATTTGAGCTGTTCTCTAGCAGTAAAACAGGGACACATTTTATAATTAAAAGCCCTGAATAATCAGACAACCAGCTGTGTATTTTGCCTAGAAACTGCCTAGCGGTGTCAACCAGAGAGGTGGTGGCACTTTTACAATGAATAATAGGCATTATTCAACTTTTTGAATGTTTCTATGCAATTTGCATTCTGAAGCACACTAAATGCGCGAGTTGTCCTCACTTGCCGAACCCAATGGCAATATTTGCTTGCATAAGTGAAGTCCTTCACTGAGCAAGGATTTACAGTATTGGCACCAGCACACAAATGTACAAAGGGCCGGATTCATCCCAACCTAACCGAAGGCATTTTAACCAAGGCGCCTGCACTGGGAACCTCGTCTCCCGGTGTTCCTGCTGGAATCAATGGAGGGCGATGGGGACTGCCAGAGGGCACTGGGGCTCTGAGGTGGGTAGCGTTGCCTTCGCAGGTCCCCAACAGTCTCCATTCACCAGAGAATGAGCCGTCAACACGCTAGCCCCTTATTTAAGGATCTCAGATGAATGCCCTGTTTGATGAATCAAGCTTTTAACCACCCACAAAATGTTCTACAAAATATCCTATAGGACCTTGATCTTGCAAGTACGTTGCTTTATGGGTAGGGAAGTCCCCTAACTCACATCAGGAACACTCTTACAAGCAAAGGTGTTAACGTATGTGTCGGTGGCAGAAAGTTCCAGTTGAAGCACAGCTAATTTCAGCCTCCTTAAAATTGGAGATCCAATGGATTGAAGACATCTAGAAAGCAGGGACTATGGAAGGCTTTAAATTAGGTCTCAGCTCTTTGGTGTACTTCACATGGATTTCAAAAAAAAAACCCTAGGTGATCCCTCACGGCATCAGCCCTAACACTAAGCCAAGAGAGTCGAAGACAGACTTAACGAAACTGTACACAACAAAATAGAAAATAGAGAAAAAGTCGGTGAATCCCTGCTTTAGAAAACAGCCTGTGGAAGCTATTTTGTTTGGCCAGTTTTTGTCTGACTTATGAACTATTTCAGAGGTGGAAAAGCAAACAAATGGGTGGAAATAATCTTTTGGATCAACTTTGCCATAGCAAAACTCTATTTAATTGACTGTAACTTATTGCAGGAGAGGAAGAAGCTGTCAGAAAGTCAAATGACAATTACATAATGAAAAATAAAAAAAAATACAATGTCCTGCAAGGTCGTTAAGACAGAGTACCCAGGGCAAAATTATATAGCACAGATTCAATAAAACTGTAGGACTTTGTTTATGTATTTCTTACTGATGGCAAAGTTTGCTTCTGACCACTGAAGCTGCTACAGACCCTTCTGAGCCAAGAGCTTTCCAGGGTGAAGCCTCCCCAATTTACACTTTTCAGGGCTTGTCTGACCTATGGGTTCATCTTCACTTTAACGGGAAGCGACAGTTCCCAATGAAATCTGAGCGCCGCTCCTCTGCACTCCTTTCTCTGGGCTAACTGACCACAAAGCACTTCTGCTGAGACATTTCCAACGGCATCTTTAGCTCCAGCATGATAAAATTTAACTTTGCATCTAGTTAGGTTGAGGAAAGATCCTTTTTCTTTTTTTTTGTATAGCCACGTGTTTATATGGGTATTTGTGACTTAAGGCATATTGTTATGGCCAGGGTCAAAACTACCACTTAATATTACTTTTTGTCAAGCACTTGCCATAATAAGATTTTTCTCAATTGCTTCTAACTTTACAAAACTTTGTCAGGGCTGAAATGTTCCACACCAGGTATATGCCCTGGACTCCATTTTATTTACTTATTTTGCTATCAACCCACCTGGTCCCATGGGTGGGGGGTGTTTGAACACTACAACTAAGGGAAAGCACACCACCCTGACCCTCCTGGGCTCTTCTGAAACTGTCCTAAAGGCTGGACATTTTGTAACAGGGACTTCATGTTCTGCAGTGGGGGTCCTTAGTTTCTGATCCTTGTTCTTGTGAAAATCTACCCCACTCAGGCAACTTAAAAACCTGAGTGGGGAAAAAAAAAAAAAAAAACACTATTTGGGTCACCCCACTTAGTGATGAAGACATGGAGGTGATTACCCTTGAGCTGAGCACTCAGGGACCTCCCCACGCTAGGGAGGACATGCTGTCCCTGTGCTGGAGGTGACCATGGTCCTGGTCAGCATGTCAGAGATGGGCCAGGACCATCCCGGCCACAGCTGCAGTTGGCTGTGCTGGGAGCAACTGGGAGGCTGGGCTTCAGTCCTGAAAGCACAGAGCCTTTTTCTTTTGCATTCTCACATACCCCAGGTGGAAACCAAGTAAAGGTGGAGGAGGAAGCCAAACCGGAGAAGTGGGAAGGAAAGAAATAGATGAAGACAAGGTGCCTGCTGAAACTACGTACATCTGGCTGGGCCAAACAGAAGAACTGGATGGGGAGCTGGGACTCAGAGCCCAAGGCAAATGCCAGGGGAAGGGGGGGCTGCTGGTGGAGGGGAGAAGATGCCAAACCCAGAAGCCAGGGAAGGAAATGGGAGGGACTGAGAGCCAGGGGCTTGTTGGAGGTACTGGTGCAAGACAGAGGGGCTCATTGAGGAGGTTGTCAGCTGAACTGGGAGACAAGAATGGACGATGAGACGAGACAAACCTTGCACAGTGTTGGGAGGGAAAGGAGGTGGGTTGGGAGGCAGGAGTGAGCCTGAAGAGAAGTAGGGTATCTTTGCAGAGCTTGGGGAGGGGGTCTGGATTGAGAGCCACAAGGAGCCAGGGGCTCAGGGGCTGACAAAGGGGCAGAGGGAGACAGGACTGCTTCAGACAGGGATAGTGATGGACACAAGGCCTCTTGAAGGAAGCACTCTCCCACCTAAGCCTGGAACAGGGCTAAGCATTTGTCAGCAGAGATGTGAGAAGCCCCAGAGAGCGTCAGTGAGAGGAGAAGAGCTGCCTGTGGTCCCCGAGCGACCAAGGAATGCACAGAAGCCACCTGTCCTGGCAAGGAAGAGGAGCTACATGGTCTCACCTCACTTAAGCCCAGGGAGCCCTGCCTGTCTCAGCACTTGGAGGACCCCTCTTTGGGAAAAGCCTTCCCTGAGTATGGAGAAGGTCTGCCCCTTCTTGCTATGGAGGTGGGAAGACACACAGCCAAAGGCCCCAGGCCAGGCAGGGAGAGTCTGGGGGACACAGCCCTGCGTGCTGCTTTGGGCGACTGGACCGGGCCCAGTCTCTGCATAGAGGCACTCCATGGGATGCCACAAAGGCCACCGCATTGGTGGCCTCTACTGAAGTGATAGAGACGGCTACCTGCAAACAAAAACAAGGAGAACTGAGCTGTAAGAGCAAAACACCCCAAGCCCAAGGACCTGCCCGTCTCCGACAGCAGCTACAAGGTGCCTCGACAGAGCAGCAGAAGGCCACGTGCTCGGAGCAGAGCCATGCAGGCAGGTCTCCAGACTCTTGCAGGATGGAGCACCAGTTGACTTGACCAACTTAACAGCATTCTTTCAGTACAGGGGTCTTTCTGGGCATGAGATGAACCTGTAAAATCTGAAATCCCATGCCATGCGCACATAACATTTCTGGGTGTCTACAGCATCCCAGCTGGGGCTGATGTTTCCTTAAAAAGAATTTGGGCTACCAAGAATGTTAAATAACTTAAGGAGGGGGGGGAAATCAGCATAAAACCGGATATCCTGATGGGGGGGTAAACCAATATAAAGCTCAAGCCCAGCTAGCGGGGAAAGTAGGTTGTAAAAATTAATGAGAATAATTGTTGTGAATTCTTGCTTTTGAAAGAACCCTCATGAGGGCAGAACCTTAATTATTTCTGTCTATTAGGGTTCATTTCCTGGTCCTAAGCAGAGAGCTAGTACCTAATAAATACGAGCTAGTAACACAATGATTTAAGCTACAGCAAAATGGTACTTAACGGCAGGGGAAGTTAATATTTGGGAATCAACCTGATTGCAAGCACCCATTGTGTAAATGGCAAGGAAATGAAATGTGCATGTGACCTATTTTAACACCTCAATATTTCTGGGGTATTTTTGCAGGGTTGCAGAGGAGGGGGAGGTGGTCGACCAAGCTGCTGACAAGCGCAATGAAAACTTTACCAAAACTTTCTACGTAGCTTAAGCCTCTTTTTGGGGAGTAGGGCTGGGGAGGGGGAGATCCCAATGTGCTTAAATATCTTTTCAGGCTGTCTAAAATATCAGGGGAAATAAGCACAAGCCCCACATTGGGGTTGCAGCTGTGCTAGTGAAATAAATTGAAGGGTCTGAAATGAGGCAGGTATTTCTATAAGCTGTGTAAGCATAGACTCGAACGCATTTAGGGCAAGTTGTACAATTAATACTGTAATGTAATTCACCTATAACATAGTTCTGGAAACCTAGAACACATGTGTGTATATATGTGTATGTATAAAATACACGGGTGTATAAAAACTATGTGTAAATTGTTGGTTTATACAAACTGTGTGATTGCACAGAAAAGGAAGTTTGCATGAAGGATGCGCTGCAGGTGAGGGGTGGAAGTGAGAGAGAGATGGCAATAAATGGGAAAAAATAGGTAATGCACTGTCAGAGAGACATGGGGATGGACAGGCAAACCCTCCTTGGGCAGATGGATGCAGGCAGACGATGTTTATGGCAACGGGAAACGCAGTCTGCATTGCAACGTGAAAATACGTTTTGCCAAGCGACCTCTCAGCTGTGAAAGCTGAATTCGGGCTCCTGCCTGTGGAAAAGACCTCACTTGCCACTCGACTCAGCTGAAGGATGTTACCCCTTCGCTCAGCCAGCATCTGCAAGAGCATCAGCTGCACGCCGGTATTATTCTCCGTCTGCACTGGGGCAAGCTACAAATTTTATTCCCTTCCCTGGAGGGAGATGCCATTTAGGGTAGATCATTCCCTGGTTTATTTTTATGGCTCTATCTTTCTCAGTTGGGTCTTTATCTTGGGGCTACAGCCACTCTTTATTTGTTTCCCCCAACCAGTCAGTGCAGCAAGAAGAGGAATGCGTGTGTCAGGGAGGCGGGGGTGGGGGGGGAGGAAAGGGATGTAAGTGTATGTAAAATGTGTAGGGGGGTGTGTAAAATATGTAGTGGTGTCTATGTGCATGTGTCTGCTGGGATGCGAGCGTGTGTGCGTCTGTAGGGATTCACGCGTTTGTCAGTGCGTATGTTTTGACAGAGACGGATACGCAGATGTCATTTCTTATCAACCAGATGTTGCTGATTTACAATCAAATATTCCTGCTCCTCCTAATATGGCAGTTTTCCCAAACTACTGTACTTACATGTTTCTGCTTTGCTCTGGTTTTATTTGCATGATAATTTTTTTTTCCCCTATAAAAGAGTCTTATTTTTCTTCAAAGGAAAGCAGTTAAATTCAGATTGTTTTCTTATAGGGAAATGCCTTTAAAGCGAGCAGTGTGTCCTGTTTTATTAACTCCCAGTTCTATTAATATTATATTCTTTCTCCGAATCCATCAAGCAGAAGTTAAACTTGATTTTATAGCATCCACAGCGGAGTTATAATTTAAGGCATAATTTGGCAAGGACTCAGTTTGGATTCAGTTTGCTTGTCCTGGTTGTGCCAACAGCTCCTATTTTAAAGGGCAGGGAAGTATTTTCTTTTCTCCCTAGTTACGGAGAAACACTC